TCTTACACTGGGGCGCAGAATGTACTGAAACAAGCTTAAGCACACAGTCGCACAACCACACATACACACTTGCAAAAAACAAAGCAAACACATACACCCCCCCCCCACACACACACTCGCTCACACAACATAAACACATGTACTCGTGAACGGGTACACTGATTTGTGCACACATTTACACTCACCCTATCCTGTTCACAAAATACACATTGCGTAATACACTTGCATACACAACCAGTGTGTATATGAATAAACTGTTTTGTCTTTCATTTCCTGCCTGACCTGTCAGTCACCCCCAAATCCTTAACCTTGCCTTCTTGCCCTATCTCGGCGCGAGTTCTTTTCCAACAAAACAAAGCATAGATGACACAAGTGTGTAAGAATTCACGCTCGTGCTCAAAATGTTATGGTTTCTTGACATTTCGCCGTTTTATTATGCGAGCATTTCCCTTTCCTTGCCGTATCTCCTGACTCACTTTTGTGTCGACTGGAAGATTTTGCCGCTTCCCCTTGTTAGTTTATAGAGAGTGTCTGACCTGAGGCCACCTCGAAACAGTGACGAAGAGTTTCGGAATTTTGAATAAACGGGAGAGAGAGAGAGAGATAGAGATAGATAGATGGAGAGAGAGAGAGAGAGAAAGAGAGAGATAGATAGATGGAGAGAGAGAGAGAGAGAGAGAGAGAAAGAGAGAGAGAGGAATAGAAATAGAGATATTATTATAATATATGTCTTATATAAAATAGATATATATATATATTATTATTATTATTATTATTATTATTATTATTATTATTATAATAATACTGAGAGAGACACACACACACACAGAGTGAGAGAGAGAGAGAGAGAGAGAGAGAGAGAGAGAGAGAGAGAGAGAGAGAGAGCGAGTCAGAGAAAAGGAGAGTGAGAAAGAAAAAAAGAGACAGACAGACAGACAGACAGACAGACAGACAGACAGACAGACAGACAGACAGATAACGAAAAAGGGAGAGGACGAGAGAGAGAGAGAGATAGATAGATAGATAGATAGATAGATAGATAGATAGATAGATAGATAGATAGATAGATAGATAGATAGATAGATAGATAGATAGATAGATAGATAGATAGATAGAGAGAGAGAGAGAGAGAGAGAGAGAGAGAGAGAGAGAGAGAGAGAGAGAGAGATTAGAATTTCTTTTACAGATGCTCACAAAAACACTTTGACGATTGAACGATGATGGTTTGTGTTGGCTTTGTGGCAATCTAGGCTTTTGAAAAAAATGGCATGCAATGAAAGTTAAGAGAATGGATCTGGAATCGCAATGAAAATTATCCAGTAAAGAGCCACTTGGTGAATATGGAAAAGGTGTGTGGCGTAAAATCCGAACAAGTGGTGAAGTGATGAAAGCCTAAAAAGTAAAGAAAGAAAAACAAAAAGAAAGAAAGAAAGAAGGAGAGAAAGAAAGAAAGAAAGAAAGAAAGAAGAAAAGAAAGAAATGCAGTCAAAATTAAAGAAAGACAGATAGACATACATACCTGTACAAAGGAAACGAGACTCAAAGAACGTTATTATAGTGTCCAAAACCCTTAATTTTTCCATAGTTTTAGTTTTGTGAGTTTCTAATGGATTGGGGTCAAGGAAAATAATATATTCACCAAGTAAATGTTGGCTAGCGTAGTTATTCTGCATACAATAGCATAATCCATTAAGTGCTACAATAAACCAGCGTTTGTGTAGGAGTGCTTCTTCGCCACAATGAAGTAACCGGAGACAGAGTATCTGACAACATTCTATTTTCTCCAGGCAAGTGGCTAATCAATATTAAGTGCCACTGTAATAAAGATGTCGAACCTCGTGCAGACAGTATTACATATGACCTACTGCTGAAGGGCCAAAGCTTTCAATTGATTACTTGATGAAAAAGGAATCTATTTTTATTAAAAAGAAAGGTCAAAATATAGAGCACTTGTCTTCTTTCGAAATATACGGTACTTCAATAGTTTTGTCGGTGAGCATACTGAAAAACTGAAATACATTATTGTGAACGAAAGACTCCTGCAGAAGCCTAAAATCAATCGTTTTGGGCGTCCTAAATTTATTAATTTTTTTTTTTTTTGTAAAGTGTTTTACGGCGCTCGCAACTCCATAAGATCATATGAGCGCGGGGGACGCACCTAATATTTTCAGTTGATAGGAAATTTTGAATTTTGCCCGGGTGGCGGCCGAAGCCTACTCTTATTGATTTTAGACCACCAAGGGATCTTTAACGTGCGCAACTTGCACACGGGCCCTCCGAAATTTTTCGCCCTTGTCCGAGAAGGCTAGGTGTAGATTTTTCCTACCAGAAGATCAGGGGTGTGGTAGAAAGACAGCAGTGAGGAGGAGCCAAGGAGTAGCAGTAGAAAGGCTGCAGGAAGAGTCAGGAGCCCAGAGGAAGGGGCAAAGAAGGTGAGGGGGTGGAGGCAGAAAGTGAAAATGAAAGCAGACAACTGAACATTGCTAGAGAGCAGGAAAGGAGGTGAAAGGAGACAATTTTAGAGAGGAAAATTTTTCGGTAGCTACCCGGATTCGAACTCGGGACCTTTGAATGAGAGGCGAACACCTTAACCTCTAGGCCACGAGAGCCCCCCCCCCCCCCCCCTAAAATTGTTGATATGTATGTCTGCCTAGACATTACAGTTCTGCCTGTTTGTATTTTTGAGGTCATGAGAAATGTTTTTTGCTAAAATCCATTGTCACGTTTTATATTTGAAACGCGGGACTTCTAAAATATAATAATCTTACGTGTAAGGGCCTACAGTCTATGTCAGTAGTGAAGGAGAGTCTCCAGCAGGTATTAAATCATGGCGCTCTGCAGAAAGGAAATATGAAAAGGGAAAACTCAGTATAAAAGACCTTAAAGATAATTAGCTATGAAGGATTTCTAGCACGCTAATGAAAATGGATGAACTTCTCTTGATGTCATACACTGGGCTCTGCATTCAAAGCAACCCTTCAAAGAACTATTCGGACCAAATTCAAGACATACCATGGAGGAAATATCATGCCGTAATTATTGTTGGAAAGGTGACAATGGTTCAGTTGCCAACATATCTTAACACTGGGATCTTTTTGCAGTATGAATTTGACGTATGTATCGCTCTCCGACACCAGTGAGACGAAAGGTTTAAACAAAAATGTATAATTAATTGTCTAAATTGGTATGGCCAGAAAATCTTTCTTTCCAGCTTCCCAGTAATGAACCCAAGGGCAGTGGGAGCGCGTATCACTTTGAAATAAAGATGGATGACTTGGAAACTTCCAGTAATTGGCGTCTTTATGTTCGGCTCCGGTGCAGAAGGAAGGAGTGAGTGAAGAGGGGAAAAATGAAGGAGCGAGTTCTAACTCAGTCTTCATCATTATGCTTCAGAGAACCCCGAGCTGTTTCTCACAGACCCGAGTCAGCTGATCTATTTAATGCCCTGCACGCTTCCACGGGCCTAAAGTTTTGGCAATATCTGTCTGCAAAGGCGCCTGCACATCGCTTCGGCCTTCTTCTAGATTCTGTCCTGCTAAGAGCAAAACAAAAGAAAAAGAAGAAAATAGATTAACAAAATAAAAGATCCCAACTCCGGAACAAGAATGCTCGTATCATTAGTTGAATGAATTCTTCCCCTTTTCCTTTCTCCCTCGCCGTTTTCCTTCCTTCTCTTTCTCTCTCTCTCTCTCTCTCTCTCTCTCTCTCTCTCTCTCTCTCTCTCTCTCTCTCTCTCTCTCTAG